CTTTTAATCCTAATCTTGCTGCATGCCCTTTGACCTGTGTTGATCTTACACTTAACGAGAAGCTTCAGAATCCAGAAAGAAGCCTTTCTGTAGATATAATCTTGTCACATTGCTTGATACACAGCTGACCGAAATGTCACAGATTACACTATATGGATGGCAGTTCATGGTTCAGGTTTAGTGCACTGACGTAACACCTGCATGTTCTCACAAAGCACATAAATCTACCATGACACGCAAACGTATATACACAACTATATATTCTTAGTTTCTCTGCCTTTATTAGGTATGAATTTGAATAAAATGTTTGATGTTATGTTCTGTTCAGGTCTAATGAAATTTTTGTTGTCAAATATATCAAATAAAAATATGATATTAGAGTATTATTTTAAAGGAAAATTTGGTAAGAATAACAATAGTTTTCATTGGTTTTGATTAGAGATTAGGGTAATTTCATGAAGAAGAGTCAGGAAAGCAATATTAAAATTAAAACACTGGTGTAAATGACTAAACTAAACATGCATGAAAACATGGCACCTTTATATTTGTTTAATGCATAAAAAGCGTTAAATGAAAGAAATGAATCAAGTCCTCATGAATCAAAATACTTATAAAAACACTTTATTTCATACTTTGTTTTTATGAGCGACTTATGTTTAGCAGTAGGGTATACTCTCAGAAATAAAGGTACAAGAGCTGTCACTGGGGCAGTACCTTTTCAAAACGTACATATTTGTACCTAAAAAGTCCTTAGTGGTACCGCAAAGATACACATCAGTAACCAAATGCACCTAAAATGTACCTTTGAGGTACTAATATGGACTCTTCAGATAAAAGTATGTACCTTTTGATACTTGGTACTGCCCCAGTGACAGCTCTTGTACCTTTATATCTGAGAGGATAAGAGGGTAGAATGTACCGTTTTTACAGTATAAAAAGTCTTTAAGTGTTAAAATCTATAAATAAAATTATATTATTATAAATAAATATCAAATAATGATATCCCTATAAACCACCTTGTGTCCAATTTATATATTAATTATTGGATTGTTTTAACTACAGTATTTATAATTAAAAAAAATGAGTGAATCATAAATAATGACTCACACTTTCTATATGTAAATGATTATTTAATTTTTGAAACATTGCTTGCTGACAAACATTGCATTTTCTCATTAATATTCCAACTAGATGCAAGATCTGGTCTCTTAATTTTGTATTCTATGCCACAATAATACAGGATAGAAAGGATATTGCTTAGTTTCATTTAATTTTAGATTTCTGCATGAATTGCAAAACAAAATAAATAAATAAAAGGGCCAGTGGTGCACTATAGACTTTCTCATTTCCATATTATAATTTATAATGACTGTGTCAAAGATGATTGCATGAATCATGACTAACAATTTTTTCCTGGATAATTATCTCAGCAGAACTGATTGGCTAGCAAAACACGAAATGCATGCAGGGAGTATGAGGACTATTGCTGGGAACAACCTACAGTTTTAACAGTATTTTTGATAATATGTTGTATATATGTCCTTTTTGTAAAATATGTCAATACTTTTAGCCTTCAATAGGGCTATGTCAGGTGATTATTATTAAATGGTTTATTTATTTACAATGTCCTGTGTACACTTGATATGAACATGCACTTTTATCAAGATGATCACAAAAAGATGATATTATAAATAGGTAAAAATGCAGTCTGAAATGTTTTGAGCCACTTCTGGGATAGCTGAAAACACATTTATTTTGCTTTCACATGACTGTATGGGATGGTTTGGCAAGAAAAAAAAACTCAAAGTACAGTATTTAATCTCATTGTGCTGTGCCAAAACACAAGGATTACAATAGAAATTGACATTCCATTCTTTCGTTTACTTTTTAAGGCATGGGAATCTTTTGATCACCACAAATGGATTCAAACCAGTTACTGAACTCTTGACTTAGTTCTCATTTCTGAATCAAATTTCGATTTGAAATATGTTCAGATTTGATTCTAGTTTGCTGTTTAGTATTTTTTCTTCTTAGGCTATATTAGGTGAGCTATGATTTAAAAAAAAAAAAAAAAAAAAAAGAACATGTACATGCTGCATTTAAATCTTGAAATAAATGTAGTTTCCTTCACAGTTTGGTAAATTCTTTATCATAAAACAAATGCCATTACTGCAATCATGCAATCATTAAACATATGACAGTCCTAGAATTAAGCAATGCAGTTCTGGGATTAGTAGAATGTTCAAAAAATAGTTTGTATAAAAAATACATTTCTTTCTTCTTTCTAAAAATTTAAATAAAGGAAAAAAACTTATTAATGAATAAACTTTTTAAAACTTAATTTAAACCAGATGTTTAATTTAGCAGGTCAATGACAAGAGGCATGTGTTTCTGTGCGTGGATATGTGCTAACTTTTCTCCACATAAAACTGTAAAATACTAGAAGTGACTACCAGATCAGCTCTAGAGATTAGGTCGAAGTGTTCATGTCCCATTTAGTGAGAGAGCAAAACTGCACCGTTAATTCATGCAGACACACAGAACATTTAGTCTTCACATTTAAACAGTCCTTTGCGGCCTTAGAACTCTCTCAAAAGACATCATTCTAGATAAAAAAAAAAAAATGTTAATACTAAACACTAAAGGCTTCCACTTTATATTAAGTGCCCTTAAATACTAATGTATCTCCTACTACCACTAGTACAACTGTATTAATAATTTAGCACAATTAACATATTGTGTACATGCATGTCTTTAGACTGTAAGTAAAGGTGACATGATGCCTCAGTGGTTAGCACTGTCGCCTTACAACAAGAAGGTTGCTGGTTCAAGTCCCAGCTCAACCAGTTGACATTTCTGTGTGGAGTTTGCATGTTTTCTTAGTGTTAGCGTGGTTTCCTCAGGGTGCTGTGAGTCCCCCACAATCCAAAGACATGCGCTAAAGGTGAATTGAATAAACCAAATTGGCCGTAGTGTATATGTGTGAATGTGAGTGTGTATGGGTATTCACCAGTACTGGGTTGCAGCTAAAAGAGCATCCGTTGTGAAAAACATATGCTGGATAAGTTCCTGGTTTATTCTGCTGTGGGGACCCCTGATGAATAAAGAGACTAAGCCAAAGGAAAATGAATGAAGGAATGAATGAATGAACATTGTAATTATGGATTAAACATACATGTAATTACAATTAATTTACTTAGTTACATGTTGTCACGATCACCAGCTATCTAGGCCTTGCAGTTCATTGGAGAACTAGACATCGACTACTAGATGAAATACAACTCCCAGAAGTCTTTGCACTTACACACCGGTTCCTGATCCTCCCAGATTACACACACACAGCTGGAAGCTCATGATAGACTGATTACTAGGACTATAAAATACACATCATTTACACACTCTTTGCTGAGTCTTGCTTAAGTGTAAGTGATCATTATGAAGCATTTACTTGTCTTGCCTTGCTGTGTTTTTGACCTTTGCTTTGTTTTACTGTTATCATCAATTTGCTGCCTGTCCTGACCATTCGCCTGTATTGTTTACTATTTTGAATTATCTGCATGCTTCTGATTATCACCGTTTCGACCATTGCCTGCCTCATATTTTTCCTAATAATCTGCATTTGGATCCTCAACTCCGTTTTTCCCCCAACTAATTACACATATAAAATTACATTACAGTACATCCCTATCCATTACACCTTAACCCTACCCATACCACCAGTTTTGTCCCTAACCTTACTTGTATCCCACCTCAATAGCACCATAGGGGTTTGCAATAGATTAAGTAAAAAAAAAACAGGTGAATGCATGTATGTATTTATTTATTACACTTTCATTTATTCATTCATTTTCTTTCAGCACTTTATGTGCTTTTATTAATCAGGCGTCGCCACAGCGGAATGAACCGCCAACTTATCCAGCATATATTTTACGCAGAGCATGCCCTTCCAACTGCAACCCATCACTGGGAAACCCATAACCCATACATTATTACATTTTATTTAATTTTATTTATTTAGCAAGTACATAGTAGTTGAGGTCACTTAATATAAAATGGGACCCACTAAAAGAATTCCTTTGTGACTTAATAAATGTATTATGCTAATGTTATAATCTTTTAGGAGGTTTAATTGTTTTAAAGCGTTTAAATTTGTCAATGATTTCCCCACCTCCCCTGCAAGCATCACTCTGTTGATTAATTTAGGTGAAAAAAAAAATCAATAAAATGTCATGTCCACAAAATCCAGAAAAATATGCCATGTGTTTTCATTAAGTCAAACAGATCAATGAAGTGTCCTTCCCTTTGCCTCTTTTAAAATGAGATTCACTGGCAAGCATTTGGAGTTTTTTTCCCAACACTGCAAGCCTTACATGAATTTTGGCTTCCGGAAAAAAATCCAACACGCACACACAAAAGAAAAGCACAAAGAAAATAACCTCTCAATATTCAAGCAAGTGATCCATTATCTGGGGCTGTCAACAAAACTTCCTTTTTACCCCTTATCAGCATGAAGAAAAATAATGCCTGACAAAATGGTTTTTTAATCATTAGTAAAAGGAAGTATGACAACATGTCGTTTTCCTTTTGATTCTTTTAGTTTTAGGCGATACAATACATAAGATACAACACAATTCAAAATAAAATGGGGCTAAATGATATTGTCATGGTTATACAGCAAGCTACTCATACAATGCGTTGTTACAGGCAGCGCTGATGTTAACCCACTGCAATAACAAATCCATATTCATTGTTGGTAGTGAATTTCTAATATTTCTGCAAATGTGAATTTACATGTATTAACTGTATTTTTATCCTCCATGCTGGGATTGAATATCATACAGTCTTGTCTAATGCCCCAAATGGAAAACCTGAATATTTAATGTCAGATTACATTAGTATTGCCACTTACATTTGTAGCCTTGGTGACTGTCATTGCTGATTTGCTAAAATCTGCCCTCTTTTTACATCTCTCTCACTCTCTTTCTCTTGCTTTTTTTCAGTTTGGTTGCATCAAAAGAACCAGAAAGCCCTCGAAGGAGAGCAGCACCCATGTCACCCTCTGACTTTCTTGATAAGCTCATGGGAAGAACCTCAGGTTATGATGCCAGAATTAGGCCAAATTTTAAAGGTACAGTAGTACAACCAACCATTTTCCCTCTTCCCTTTTACTCTTTATATTGCATACAGTATTGCATAATCCATTATCCATGATTTTAATGTCATTGTTCCTTATTATAAGAACTGATACATTCATTTTGACTGGTTTTACATTTTGTAATACTGTATATGATATTTGTAAAACAAAACACATAATTAAAGTATACGCTGACCTTTATTAATTGTGTGTATATTTCATTCTAACATTGTTAATTAATACAATTACAATTTTAATAAAATATAGTATTTCTACCTTGAATGGCTATAATGGTCAAACTGACTACATCCGTTTCAGCGTCCAATATTTTTCTCATGACTTTGAATGATTGCTTCAGTCGCCTAGCAAATTTCTGACAACAAAAACTTAACCGTACTTTGCTCTCCCACTTGCCGGTCAAAGTGTGATTAACTGAAACACAATTATAAGTCATCACAAAAAATAAAGATTGTATTTTTAGGGTAATTATTTCATAAAATCTGATGACAGACAATCAAAGGGTAATTCTAAAATCTAAATAGAAGCTTTGAATGTAAATATAACCGGCACCTAGCTCTCTGCAACTTTCACATGGTCGCCCACTGAAGCTAGGCAGGGCTGTGCCCGGTCAGTATCTTAATGGAGACCAAATGGAAAAGCTAGGTTGCTGCCGGAAGTGGTGTTAGTGAGACCTTCAGTGGGCGCTTAACCTGCAGTCTGTGTGGGTCCTAATGCCCCAGTATACTGATGGGGACTCTATACTGCTCCGTGAGCGACGTCTTTCGGATGAGACGTTAAACCTGGCTGACCTGACTCTGACTCTCTGCGGTCGTTAAAAATCCCAGGATTTCCATAAAAAAAAAAAAGAATAGTGGTTTAACCCCGGCATTGTGGCCAAATTCGCCAACAGGCCTCTGTCCATCATGGCCTCCTAACCATCCCCACATCATAATTGGTTTCATCACTTTGTCACCTCTCCACCAACCAGCTGGTTTGTAATATGCCAAAAATTTTATTGGGTGCAATATAGCAGTGTTAAAAGTGGTGTTTGCACATATTTTAAACCATCAATATCATGACAAGCTAACTATCATTTGAAAAATTAGACATTTCAGTTATTTATTTTTTGAGAAATACATTTTGATAGATATTACTGCGCAACAGTAATGTATTAAAATGCAAAAAAAAAAAAAAAAAAAAATTGCATGTTCAGGACATTTTGCTTAGCAATTCACGCGTGATATCACAAATAATTCGTTTTAATTTTTTTTTTGCATTATTATAATGATGAAAAACCTAAATTTATATATATATATATATATATATATATATATATATATATATATATATATATATATTTTATTATTATTATTTTTTTCTACTTTAACTTAAAGATTTTTGCAACAAACCACTGAAGATTTACAACAATTTAATTTGGACGTAATTTTTACTCCCATGTCCAAAGAAAGAGGTTAAAAACCTTTAGTTAAGATGATCGCTTGTCCAAGGTTCATCTTTGATATTGTATGAAGCTGATGCAGATGTGCCTCTTTATTTCATGCTATGAAATGATTATGTAATAAGTCTGCACAGCTCGTGGTTCTAGCTGCCTCTAGACATTTCTGCTATGACCCTGAAAACATTCTTCCATTACGCTGTTACAAAACGGCCCTGAACCCAAACCATCTCAAACCATAAATCAGTCTCAGCTTTCTTAAATTATTCAACTGGCAAAGGACTTCCCCTCAGAAGCTCATTTACAGAGGCCACTAATTCATAAATGTCAAGTAAAGAGACTTTAAAAAAAGCTCTAAACAAAATGATGTACAATGCTGAACGACAGCATCCTGGATTAGACGTGTTACAATTAAATGTGTACAATGGAATGCAGCAATATTTTAAGTGTCAAATAACCCCAATTATTCTTTTACCATTTCTTTATGCTTTTTTTTTGTAATATATTTTTATTTCATCTCGATCATGACAAAATTTTCTTATGATTTCAACAAAGAAAACATCATCTCAGATTTTGTATTGTATTTTAATTGAACCGAGAATATGTGATTGATTATGCATGTTTCTTTTAAAAATGTAAGTGTATAACTTTAACCTCCTTAACCTTTAAAATATGTGACTTAAATAATAACTGAGTTGTCACAAATATTGGTAAACAAAGCATTTTTTTTTTTGCAATTTTGAGTCATGAACATTCAGGAAATGTTTTGTAATTTTTGTTTTTTAAATGTGCATAAAGTGCATGCAATTTTATAATAATCTAGACACAATTAAAACAAATACATCCAGAACTAGAAATTTTGTCTAGACAGACAGACAGAAAGACAGACAGACAGACAGACAGACAGAGAGAGAGAGAGAGAGAGAGAGAGAGAGAGAGAGAGAGAGAGAGAGAGAGAGAGAGAGAGAGAGAGAGAGAGGCTTCTTTTAAAATAACAAGTTATAATATTCAAGGAATGTTCTCTTCAGCCTTTGGGGAGAAAACTACTTACCCTGATTTTGTAAATATTCTAGATAATACAGATATAATTATATTACTTGAGACATGGAGTCGTTTAGACTCTAATTCCCACACTCCCCCAAACTACAGAGAGCTTTGTGTCCCTTCAATCAAACAGCCTAATGTTAAAAATGGAAGAGATTCAGGAGGAATTATAGTTTGGTTTAAAGATCACCTGTGGCGGTATATTCAGCCTGTAAAAAAAGGAACAACACATATTTGGATAAAAATTAAAAAAGGACTTTTATGTTTAGGTGAGGACATGTATCTTTGCGCCACCTACATCCCCCCGTATGAGTCCCCTTATTATAATGAAGAGATCTTCTCAATCCTGCAGTCAGAGATCAGTTATTTTCAGTCTCTAGGCTCAGTTTTATTAATGGGAGATCTGAACGCCAGAACAGGGAAGGAGGCAGACTGCATTAGTTCAGACGGCGACAAATATACTATTGGCTCACACACATATGACCAAACATGTTTTGATAAAATGCGGCAAAACTATGACAACATCATAAACAAACATGGAAAACAAGTCCTGCAGCTTTGCAATAGCCTAGGTGTATATATAGTGAATGGCAGAACAAAGGGTGACTCTCTGGGTCGACCAACATATAGTTCACACCTAGGGGTCAGCACAGTAGACTATGCCATTACAGACATTGACCACAGTATAATTAATTATTTTACAGTGATGCCACAACTGCCGTTTTCAGACCACAGCCACATTGTTCTCAGTTTGAAAAGATCACAGAATGCCTGCCTATTCTCAGAACAAAAAATAAAACTGCATCCCCTGCCACCTAAATTAATCTGGAGTAAAGACAGTCCTGCCCAGTATGAAGCAGAGCTCCACTACACTCAAGTGGAGAACATGATCAATGCATTCATACTGACTTCATTTGGTAAAGAGGAACAAACTATAAATTTAGCAACCGAACAGCTGACCAATATTTTTTCAACAGTTGCCCAAAAAATATTGAGGAAAAATCTGAAATACAAATCTAAAAAACGAAAAACTACAGCTGGCTGGTTTGACAAAGAATGTCAAAATACAAGAAAAGAATTAAGACAATTGTCAAATAAAAAACACAGAGATCCGACAAACCAACACACACGAGGAAAATACCAACAAACTCTCCAAATGTATAAATCACTATTAAAAGAAAAGAAAGCTGATCACATGAAGTTAAAATTGGATCAAATTGAGGAGGCTATTGATCAAAATTTGTTTTGGGATTTATGGAAAAGATTAAATCAATCTAAAGAATCGAAACAAATTCCCATTCAAGACCCAAAAATCTGGACCAAACATTTCGAAAAGCTATATTCACAAAAAGAATTGAACCAAAAACAAAAACATCTGACCTCCCAATTACATATATTAGAAAATACTATTAAAGATCAGCTAAACCATTTAGATATCCCAATACAATTAAATGAGTTAACAGAAAAATTAAAAACTCTAAAAAATAAAAAGTCCTGTGCCTCAGATGGAATCTCTAATGAGATGCTAAAACACAGCAGTCCTCAATTAAAAAACGCCATCTTGAAATTATTCAACCTCTTGTTAGAATCAGGACATTTTCCAGAAATTTGGAAGGAGAATTTAATCACGCCAATATTTAAAAATGGTGAGAAATATGACCCAAATAACTATAGGGGCATCACAGTGAGTAGTAACCTGGGGAAATTATTCTGCTCTATCATTAATGATAGACTGGTTGGGTTCATCCAGGAAAACAAGATTTTAAATAATTGTCAGATTGGATTTATGCCTAAAAAAAGAACAGCAGATCACATCTACACACTCCAAACACTCATTCAAAAACATGTCCACCAGACCAAACAAGGGAAAATATTCGGCTGTTTCATTGATTTTAAAAAAGCCTTTGATTCGGTGTGGCACAATGGGCTTTTCCTAAAACTCTTACAAAGTGGAGTTGGAGGAAAAACCTATGACATAATAAAGGACATTTATAATGGGAACAAGTGTTGTGTAAAAATAAACAATAAGCGGACTGATTATTTCACTCAGAGTAAAGGAGTCCGTCAAGGCTGCAGTCTCAGCCCGACTCTATTTAACATTTATATCAATGAATTGGCATCAGCACTTGAGAAGTCCTGTAGTCCTGGCCTGAGCCTGGAGGACAGAGAGATCAGATGTCTCCTGTATGCGGATGATCTGCTGCTTCTGTCTCCTCATGAAGAGGGTCTTCACCACAGTCTCTCTATCTTGGAGGAGTTCAGCACAGACTGGGCATTGCCCATTAACATGCAGAAGTCCAAGATCATGATCTTCTGTAAAAAACCTCGTCTGGCTGATAAAAAAAGACACACTTTTAAAATTAGAGGAACAATACTTGACCACGTCACCTCTTATAGTTATTTGGGTCTGACAATCACAGCCTCTGGACACTTCAGTCAAGCTCTAAAAGACTTGACCGCTAAGGCACGCAGGGCTTTTTATTGTATTAAAAAAAACCTTTTTAAGTTTAACCCACCCATTAAACTGTGGCTGAAAATATTTGACACCATTGTAAAGCCAGTCCTGCTGTATGGCTGTGAACTCTGGGGACCCACATTTAAATTAAACTATGAATCTTGGGAAAAAACTCCAGTTGAAATCTTTCATCTGGAGTTTTGCAAAAACATCCTCGGAGTTCACAGAAGCACACCTAGCCTTGGTTGCAGAGCAGAACTAGGCAGGTTCCCTCTGCTCTCAGAAATCCAGAAGAGAGCAGGGAAGTTCTGGCTCCATCTGTCAGACTCCAGCCCAGAGAGCTACCATCAGCAAGCCCTCATATATAGAAATGCACATCCGGCTAGCGACCCCATGCACTATCTGGTGGAAAAACACCAACTAAATTCACAAACCCTGTCCCAACATATAAAGACTAAAGAAATAGAAAAGATTACCCAGGAGGATTATAAACTCAATTGGCAAAATAAAGTACAACAAATAAAAAAGTTAGCGTGCTTCAACCATATTAAACCTGGTTATGAACTGGCCCCGTATCTGACCAACATTAAGAGCCCCGGTCAGAGAAAGCTGATGAGCCGGTACCGTCTGAGTGGATACAGTCTGAGTGTGGAGACGGGCCGACACAAGCGCAGCTGGAGGAGCCCAGAGCTCAGACTGTGTCCACACTGCCCTGCTGGAGCTGTGGAGGATGAGCTGCATTTCCTCACTCACTGCAGCAAATATCAGAGCATCAGAGAAGCTTACTTCACACAAATGTCTCTGATTCTACCACAATTCCAGCAAGCCACAAATACGGAGAAACTCCATTATATTTTGGGAGAAAATGAAAAGTGTCTCCACCTAGCAGCACAGTACGTGTCCTCATGCCACCATATGAGAGAAAAAGGCTGAACCCCCTCATCCCTTATTAAAGCTCTCTGTCCTTACCATTTATTATTATATACTTTTGTTAATCTTTTTTTTTATTAACTTGTTTATTGTGGCAACATATATGTATAATATAACGATATGTATATGTGTTTGTTTATTATTACTTATATTTCTTTTATCTATATGAATGTTCTGTATTTTGTTATTGCTTTGGCAACATTGTGATTTGTTTTACAGTCATGCCAATAAAGCTCTTTGAATTTGAATTTGAGAGAGAGAGAGAGAGAGAGAGAGAGAGAGAGAGAGAGAGAGAGAGAGAGAGAGAGAGAGAGAGAGAGAGAGATAGAGATAGAGATAGAGATAGAGATAGAGATAGAGATAGAGATAGAGAGAGAGAGAGAGAGAGAGAGAGAGAGAGAGAGAGAGAGAGAGAGAGAGATAGAGATAGAGATAGAGATAGAGATAGAGATAGAGATAGAGATAGAGATAGATAGATAGATAGATAGATAGATAGATAGATAGATAGATAGATAGATAGATAGATAGACAGATAATGTAATATATTGAGTCTGATTTTGCTGTTTGTTTTAACAGGTCCGCCTGTGAATGTAACATGCAACATATTTATTAACAGTTTTGGCTCCATCGCAGAGACAACTATGGTATGTATTCGCACTTCAGAGATGATGTGTAACTTTCCATGCACAAAAGGCTCCACAGGGTATTTGCACACTGTAAATCATTGTAATTACTGTATATTAGCACTGTGCTTCTATAGTAAATAATGCATTAATAGTGTTCTATTAAAATATCCAGTTTATTTATTAATGAAAACTGCGTAGGACACGCATACAGTGTAGTGTGTGTGCATACTTTCTAATCTATCTCAGAACAGACCTTGGTGATCATTTTTTAGGTCCCCTTAAATCATGTTAAAATCAAGGGAAAAAGCATCTGGTTGATTTTGATCAAGGGAGACCTGTGTGTGTGTGTGCGTGTGTCAGTGCTCATTCTTAGCAGCATCTCTGTGGGTTGAAGCAGGAACTGTAAGGGCCATTTCACACACGTCATTCACACTTACACTAAGTGTGTGTAATGCATGTGCGTGTGCACAAAAATAAACAGTAAAAGTTTCTATAAAATAAACTGGCAGCTGTGGTTGATAATTGTACAGCTACAATGCTGTAAACTATTTTAGCCATATAGTGTAAAGGAGCTCAGTGTCACACAACTGCTAAACACACCACAGTACAGTATGTGTATCTCAGACAATAACATTTGAACTGTCTAAATGTATGAGATTAATCATGCACTGAAAAAAAAATTATTCAAAGATGATTTCTTGGATTTACAATTGTTTTTTTTTTTGTTTTTTTAAAGTTAAGTGGTTGTAAACAATTTATTTGGACTAAATTTAAACACAAATTAAAGTTTGTTTATACTAAATTTACAACAATACTAAAACAATACTAAATTTAATTTGTTTGTTTAAATTCAACATATTTCAATTGTTTGCAACAATTTTGCAGACATCATTTTTTTTGTATATAAATGATCTTATCCTGGTTTTCAATAGTATAACAGCACATTATTAGTTGTGCACATTTGGCTGATAGAGCGTTTGGACCCAGAAACTGTGGCACGGGCCTTCAGACTTAACAAGCGGATTGCTGAGCACACCTGGAGCCTTTTTTTATTCAACCGTGGTGGCATATAATGGACAAACAAGATCCCTGTGGGTATGAACCACAAAAGAAAGAACCATAACCGCTTTCTGAAACTTGCTTCCTGATTGCTTGGAGGTTTTAGGATAAAGGCTACCTGTATAAAAGCAACCCAGGCCCCGGTACATCTGAGGCTAGGTTGCTTTCTTCTGCATGAACTCCTTTTTGAACTGCTCTTTGTTTTTTCTGTTCTGATGCAATTCAGCCCAAGGTTTGTTGTTGTTAACACAAACTGTTGACTCCAGCTCTGCTTGTAAACCACGGGTGTATTTATCCATCCATACAGTCTTTAAACGTGCTTTTGCATTTTTTAAACATATATATATATATATATATATATATATATATATATATATATATATATATATATATATATATATATATACACACACACACACACACACACACACTTTATAAAACATTATAGGTTGTTTCCAGAGCTTGACATTAACTTTTAGTAGTTTTCCAACATTACTAGCTACTCGCCGTTTTCAATAGCCAAACTTTTGTTGTTGGAAAAATATCTGACATGCATAACATTTGAATTAGGTAAGCTAAAATTACCTGATTTGATTTTTTGTTACGTCCACATGCCTCCTCACTCATATAATTTTTTTGTGTGTCGTATATGAGCTTGCTCAATGAGCAAATGGGTTGTGGTTTCATAGTGTTGCATTGCAGTTAGTTTTTAATTCACATGACTTTTCCTTCAACACTAAAGATTTACCAAAAGATTCTCTAGCCATACACATCTAGCCACAAACATCACATTAGCTGAAATCAGCCAATTGGCACTGAAGTCCTCGTCAGTGCATCAGAATCGCCTGTGTCTCACCGTGTGTGATCATCCTCTCGTTAGGTTTTCACCTGCTTTTGCTCATGCAAACACAGTTATCATTGTCATCTCTCATGCTGACCCCTCATCGGGCAATCCTTATTGTTGAACACTGCCTTTTAAGAAAACTACAGTTTAAAATGATCTTTAATCAGCCAAAATGGCTAGTGGCAGTGACTGAATTAAGCTGTGGTGGGCACAGCTAAATATCTACCCACATTTGGTGGGTTGGCAGGCTTTAATGTCAAACCCTGGTTGTTTCAAATATAGACAAACAAAACCAATACTCTAAAAATGGTTTTCAAAATAAGGCATTTGACTAAATTGCGGGTTATATTTTGAATGTAATTTGCAGCATTACATTTTGATTTATGTACATTGCTGTGTGTTTGTCAGTCTGTCTGTCTGTGTTAGTTATGGGCAGAAACTGGTAACAAAAATCTGATTAATGGAAAAATCTTGCAGTTCATAAAAAGAAAGTAATATAAAGTTTACTGCGCCGGTAACAAAACATCTTTACTGTAGTGACTAATATGTGAAAACCGTATGTATGCCAAATTTATAAGTTCAGGTTATGAATTGTCATGGTGCTCAAAAACATAATGATGCATTAATAACTGAAAATATCTTTATAAAACCTTGAAATATATATTTAAAAGCTGTTATGATAAATAATGATTATGTGTACATTTGTGTAATTAAAAACTGGCTTATAGGATTAAACCAGGTTTTTAACAGTGTATTTTTATTTTTTTATGTATGTTTCGATGTGATTTTTGCATGACAAGCTGTCATAATTTGGACATTATTTTGTACCAGCATCTTTCAACTATGATTTGAACACTGTTTAAATGGACCTTTATATATCTTCAATGTAAATACCCACTGCATATGAAGTATTAAATGCAGATCCTTCATATTTATAGCAAATCTGACATTTATACAAAAAAAAAAAAAAGAAGTGATTAATTGAGCAGTGTACAGAGTGTCAATGGCTAGGTATTCATCGGAACGTGCTTTCAAAGAATAAAGAAAGAAAGAGAGTGAAAATTCCAAATCCTAAATAGGTGCAATTCCATCAATTTGTTGCAGCAGCTGACTGTAGTATTGGTAACCCAGAAACCAACAATAAAAAGGCAAATATAAAGAAGTTACGTTCGTTAAATCAGTTTTTATTTGGCAATAGCTTTTCCACCTCTCATTGCTCGCATAAACCCTTTTTGCAGTCCATAACCATCTTAAACAAGAAAAAAAATATTATACATACACACACATATACACATATATATATATATATATATATATATATATATATATATATATTTTTTTTTTTTTTTTTTTTTTTTTTTTTTTTTTTTGCAAATTAAGGGATTTTGTAACCAAATTTTGCTGACTCCGTCACTCTTTTCTCATGCAGTACTTCAAAACACACATTAAAACAGCATGATCAAAAATGCACAAAATGTGTTTAAGCTGTGAAAATACCATATAAAGTTATTTAAATACACTACTTATAATTTAGTCACAGTCATATTAAAGAGCCCATATTATACATGAAATAGGGTCATATCCTGGTTGTAAGGGTCTCCAACAACAGTCTAATATGCATGCAAGGTCAAAAAACACTTTCATGGTCTTATAATCTGCATTTATTTTTACCTAATTATCCCAGCGACTCCTGTATGAATCGTCCAGTGATTCATTTGTTCCCAAACCCCTCCTTAGCGCGGAGCTAATCTGCGCTGATTGGACCGATGACAGTCTGTCGCGATTGGTCGACTGCGTTCAGTCAGAGAGGGAAATGGCCAATAGCTAATCAGCAATTTAAAAAGTAATCACAGTTCATACACGCTCGATAGTATAGACGTGGATTTTAGCTGCCACACTATGGCGAGTGGATAGTGCCACGGATAACCGAACGAAGGAGACAGTCGTGTACTGGCCATACCACACACACACAAAAACACACACACACCTCCGGATGACAACGCTCCCGCTTCCGCCCGCACCCGCCAGGTTTTAGCCTGAGAACCCGCTCCGTTTTCTGCCCGCCGCGCCCGGTCCCGCTAGAGCGGAGAACACAACCAAAAATCACCCAGTATACAGTCCAGACAGCCAAGCTGTCGTTCGTTCGTTCGCTCTCTCTCTCTCTCTCTCTCTCTCTCTCTCTCTCATACGCGCGCGTGCGCACTAACACACACACAAGCACCACGCAGACTCTCTCTTTCTAATTCGCATAGCAATATCCGTGATATTGCTAGACAGCCCGCTCCCGTCCCAAATTAAACCCGTTACCGACCGCTCCCGCGATTTATTCGGAAATTTATTCCCGCGGCTGTCCCCGCGCCAGATTTCTGCGGCGCGGGAATAAATTTCCGAATAAATCGCGGGAGCAGAACTCTAGCACGGAGCTCCATAAACAAACAGCACGCGTCGCGTTTTTAACGTGACTTTGCACGCGATAAGATAAAATATCCAGTTAACCTGATACAGTACACGCGGTTACAAGTAACAAATCACAACTAAATACATTTGCAAGCTAGAGTAAACGAGGCAACAACTTTAACCGCACGTACTTACACTTGAGAAATGGAAGAAACCCATCCTGACGTCCATCAGTTACTCTTTACTGATCCTTCCTTTAACAAACTCAGATGAAGTATTCTTTGTAGCATGTAGCTTCCAGAAGTTTCCAACTGCTTGGTTATAATGCTGAGGTTTCATCTTTGGGTAGAGACTCAATATATCCATCTGCAGTGTGACTTCAATCGACCGGCATGTTTGTGTGCGTGTGTTTGTGGGTGTGCGTGTGTTTGTGGGTGTGTGTGTGTGTCTGGGTTTCTGCGTCAGAGGGCGGGCCTCAGGTTTGAAATCTCCCGGGTTTGCGCGTGCACGTGAATAACTTGGTTTCGTTCGTACGTCATGGCGAAACACCTAATGAATCGGTATCAAGGCGACTCGTTTGAAGCACTATGAGTCGACTCTTTTATAGATGAATCAACCGTTTTAAACACTGTATTCTTACAGATTTAAGCCTTAGCTGGATACTTTGCTTCACTTAGAGCTGTGTTACACACTACATGGAGGGGAATTTTCAAAAACC